CCTTTTCTAATACTTTGCCATTTATTTTACTGCTACGGAGTTCAGCTAGCACTGATTCATCTCCCCATATGGCGAGCAGATCCCATACCTCCCGTTCGGTCCATTCTAGAGCTCTTTTGCGATCCTGGGACTCCATCACGGTTACCTGTGCTGATGAGCTCTGCGTAGTTACCTGTGCTCTCCACGCTGGGCAAACAGGAAATGAAATTCAAACATTCGCGGGTCTTTTCCTGTCTACCTGGTCAGTGCATCTGAGTTGAGAGTGCTGTCCAGAGCGGTCACAATGAAGCACTGTGGGATAGCTCCCGGAGGCCAATAACGTCGAATTCCGTCCACACTACCCCAATTCCGACCTGCAAAGGCCGATTTTATCGCTAATTCCCTCGTCGAAGGTGGTGTAAAGAAACCGGTTTAAAGGGCCCTTTCAGTCAAAAGAAAGGGCTTCGTCGTGTGAACGTGTCCAGGCTTAATTCGATTTAACGCTGCTAAAGTCGACCTAAACCCATAGTGTAGACCAGGCCGCTGGTCTGGTCTACTCTGAGAGTCACAGCGCCTAATTTTAGACCTCTGGAAAAATCACTGGGATTCACAAAGACTGAGTTAGGCGCCTAGGCTCCTGGTGCTATGAAGAGAGAGAGGCTCCTGGGAAAGTGATCCACAAAGGCCAGCATGCTAGGCTGGAAATGCCCAGGAGAGGGGTGTGTGCTAAGCACAGATGGAGTTCAGCACCCAAGTCCAGGCTGGAGGGAAGCACCTGTCTCTGCTTGGGGTTCTTAGCTGTGACGATAGACACTCTATAGCAGGGGTGGGCAAACTTTTTGGCCCGAGGGCCACATCTGGGTGGGGAAATTGCATGCACGGCCATGAATGTAGGGCTGGGGCAGGAGATTGGGGTGCAGGAGGGAGTGTGGGGTGTGGGAGGGGGTGCAGGGTCCTAGTGGGGGCTCAGGGTAGGGGGTTGGCGTGCAGGAGGGGATGCAGAATGCGGGAGGGGGCTCAGGGCAGGGGGTTGGGGTGCAGGAGGGGTTCGGCAGGGGCTCAGGGCAGGGGGTTGAGGTGAAGGAGGGGATCCAGAGTACAGGAGGCGGCTCAGGGCAGAAAGTTTGGGGCTCAGGGCAGGGGGTTGGGGTGCAGGAGGGGTTTGGCAGGGGCTCAGGTCAGGGGGTTGGGGTGCAGGAGGGGGTGTGGCAGGGGGCTCAGGGCAGGGGGTTGGGGTGTGGGGTTCAGGAGGGATTCAGTTTCGGGCTCTGGTCCGGCACCACTTACCTTGTGCGGCTCTGAGGTGGCAGCAGTGCACAGCGGGGCTAAGGCAGGCTCCCTGCCTGGCCTGGCCCCATACCACTGCCGGAAGCGGCCGGCACCGCATCCCTGCTGCCCTGGGGGATCAGGGGCAGAGGGCTCCGCGCGCTGCCCTCACCTGAGTGTTCCCACCCCCAAAGCTCCTATTGGCCATGGTTCCCCATTCCCAGCCAATGGGAGGTGCAGGGGTTGGTGAACCAAGGCCTTCCACAAGCTAGGTGACTACTGTAACCCCTGGGCTAGTAGTTATGAGGGAGGGGGTCCCCCTCCTCCTGCTATAGTCGTAGCACACGTGTGTGGCCCAATCCAGCAAGTAGCCAGATTGGAGCTCACAGCTCAGTGAGGCAGAGGAACACCTCTCTTCCCACAGTTTGTGCATCGTGCTGGGGCTTAGGCATCTGGAAGCCTGGGATGGGGCAGCAGTGCACATGCCCAGAGACAGAAACACAGACACTTTCCTGCAAAAACTGAGGCCCTGAGCAAGTGCAGGCTCCTACAGTGTTTGGTGGCAGCTGAGCAGGGGTTTTGTGATTCCCAATGAGGCCTGATTCTGACATTTCGTTGGCTAAACCGGCAATGAGGCACCAAAGTCCCATTGTTAATTTAGCCCATAGAGTTTTAGAAGAGGTGTACAATTAAGTTACCTGGAAAATTTTCCTTGTTGAAGAGCGGGAAGTGCATGACAGTGGGAACATCTTTTCCTTTGAAGATGTAGCAACTGGAGGGGGTATCTGTGTCCTTCAGCTTTTCTGGGTCTGTCTTGGGAAATGGGATGTAATTTGCCTCACAGTACTCGGCAGTTTTCTTGATGGTCTGGGAAGGAGGGAAAAGTGATTTTAAAATAAATAAATGAATAAAAATGACACCTCCGCTAATAAAATGTGACATCACTAATATGGCCAGGCTAGAGACATAAAAATACTCCTCACCTATAGTATACAAACATTCCAAGTAGCCTCTAAGGAACTGACCAATCGAGGGCCTCCAGGGGAAACTGGACATGACCCTGTTGCCATATCTGTGTAACCAGAATCTTTGCATAACAATGCATATACTGTAGCTGAGGTTTTCAAAAGCTCCTAAGGGATGTGGATGCCCAGTTCCCATTAAAATTAATCCCTTAGGCGACTTTGAAAACCTCAGCCCAAGGTAATAAACAGAAATGGAAACCCAGATTTTCAGCTCCTCCAAAAGCCCAAGTTTGTAGTTTTTTTTTTTTTCCAAATTCACCTATAGGAAAACTCGTACTTGATGTAAACAAAGTAGCAAAGTGTTATAGTAGTGTGGCCACTAGAGGGAGACAATATCACCTATGGCACACTAGTCATATGTGAGGCTGAGGTTAGCAAAATTGCAGAGTTCTAACTGACTTATTGGAACTCAGTTCACATTTCTACTGACCCCATCTCCTCCTGCTAGAGTGCTCTTGGCTCTTTGGTGCTAACAGAAATAAAAATGGTCAAACCTAATGGCTGTCATTTAGCACATCAGATAAGACTGTGATACACACAGGGGCACATCTGTGGAGTAAGCAGATGCCAATTTTACACAGAGTAAAACTGAACTTCAAGGAATTTCCTCTTCTTCCATGATATCCAAAGGGAAAGAAATGTCATGACTGGTCATACGCCCTTACCCCAAGCCCAAGCGACCTTGCAGGTAATAAGGGAAATATTCCCAGTGGATCCTATATGTCCACACATCTCAAATTGTGATTCCCACAGAACATTCAGGGAATCTAAATTACTGCTGCTAACAACAGTGTAACCTCACTGGGTCATGGGTCAAGTCCTGGGTATTTGTGTAGTGCTTGATCCCAATTGGGACGTTGGGAGACATCACAATAAATAACAGTCGTTACCTCGGAAGGATCCCCGTCACTGAAGTCGAAGGAGAGGATCAGTTTCACTTTCTTCTTTGGGTGCAGAACGAGGGGGTAGGCGGAATTTATGGCAATGCCGGCATCGATCAAGTGGATGAATTTGTGGTTGGTCAAGCCAGTGGATTGGGTTTCACCTGCAAAAGTTCATTCACATGTTGGTTTTGGCTGTGATTTTTCCAAGGGGTCACAATGACTTAGGTGCCCAAATCCCCCTGAATTCTATGTGCATTTTCAAAGGTGCCTAAACTGGCAGATAAACTTCTAGTGGGATTTCCTAAGGCACCTAAGCAGGTTAGGCACTGTCAAGAGTAAGGACCCAGAGCTAGCCTTCTTACATGCTAGCTTAACCCCTCCCACTCCCACAACTGGGCCCCCCGCTGAGCCTCCTGATTAGCCCAACCACCTGACTGGCTGTAGGCATCTGCAGACTTGCTCTTATGACCAGTGGCAGGGCACTGGCTGCTCAAAGCATTCACCCATGGCTGCGAGAGCTCCTGATCCTGCCCTGTGCCTAGCCTTGCACCCACCTTGCCTTGCTCCAGGTAACCGGCTCTGATTTCTGGCCTCTGACTCTGGCTTTGACCCTCAGCACCGGCTACTGACCTTTGACTCTGGCACTGACCCTCAGCTCCGATTTCAGCTACTTGTGCCTGCTGTAACCACTAGGTCTGACTCCTGCTCTAGCCATTAGGCATGACATCCCCCATCCTGGTCACTGACAGGTACCGAATTCCATTTGAAACTAGTGGGAGTTCGGAGCCTACCCTGCTTAGTACTTTTATAATTACCATGAGGGGCCACACTTGCAAAGATGGGTTGGTGCCTAAAGATACAGAGAGAAGCCCAGTGGGTTGTTCAAAAGTGCCCAGGGCCCAGATTGTTAAAGGTATTTAGGCACTGCTGCGCTCAGCACCTAACTGATTTAGGAGGCTAAATCTCAATATTCAAAAGGGATTTAGGCACTTAGGAGCCAAAATCCCTTTAACAGTCCGTAGTCCTAAATCAGTCAGGTGTTGCAACACTGACCGCAGAAATGTCTAAATACCTTTAAAAATCTGGTTTTAGGTGTCTAAATCCCTTTAACCCCAGATGTTTATCGGTATCTTTAGGAACCAAAATCTTGCCCTTAGGCTCCTTGAAAAACCTCAGCTCTAATTTTGAGAAATTAGCCTCTAAACCATCTCAGTGGCACATGAGCATTGTCCACAAACACATATCTGAGCTAGCATTTGGTAAAACTCCATTTTAGGAGAATCCCGGCTGCCTTATTAAGAAGTTCTGTCTCAGGGTAATATCAGAATCATACTAAAACCCAGGCACATTTTAGGTTTGCTTTGACACTAGCTCACTATGGAGTGGGGTAAATACAGCAACAACCTGTTGACAGTCATCTGTCCAAATAAAGGCCCACATTCCCTTCTGTTGCATTTGAAGTCCCTTTTATTTACTTCCCATGAACACCCAGAAAGGCAGTTGGAGCTGGTCAAAAAATTCCCCTCCCCCTGCAAAAAAAGTTGAAATTTCAAAGTTGTTTCATTCCACAGAGATGAAAGCATTATCTGTTTTTTGTGAACAAAAATGACAGAGATTTCAATCTAATAATTTCCCAGAAATTTTCGACAGTTTTTTTCTGTGAAAAACTTGATTTTAGAAAATGGCCATTTTCCACTCACAATAAAAATATCATTTGAGAAACGTTGACCAGCTCTAGAGAATGCCTCTAGCCTTAAAGAGAATTTTGGACTCCTTGCAATTTCCTTCTAAAAAAGAACCTTGTAAAATACATCTCCACACTAGCTGTCAAATAGTGATGAATGGATAATACAAAACAAAAACTATTCACAAAAGTTTGTTGGAACAAAAAGCAGAAATTGCCTTTTTACTGCCACTTTTATTCTCTCGTGCACAAGAATGTTCATACATCTGTGATAATTGTCATAGACCTAAACACCCTTCCTCTGTGACCTTGAGAAAGTCTTTTCTCATTTTTGTAGCTCAGTTCTCGATCTGTTCAATGGGAATAACAATATTTCTCTGTCTTGCAGGGAATTCACAGATGTCACTGGGCACTCAGGTAACATGGCAATGAGGTCTAGCGTTGCCAGGTGTCCTGTTTTCGACCAGAATGCCCAGTCAAAAAGGGACCCTGGCGGCGCCGGTCAGCACCACTGACTGGGCTGTTAAAAGGGGCTAAGGCAGGCTCCCTCCCTGCAGTGGCTCTGTGTGGCTCCCAGAAACAGCGGCATGTCCCCACTCCGGCTCCTACGCGTAGGGGCAGCCAGGGGGCTCCGTGTGCTGCCCCCGCCCCAAGTGCCAGTTCTGCAGCTTCCATTGGCCAGGAACCGTGGACAGGGCAGTGGGCAGAGCCACCTGGTCACGTCTCCACATAGGAGCCGGAAGCTGGATATGCCACTGCTTCCGGGAGCTGCCTGAGGTAAGCACCACCTAGAGTCTGCACCCTGACCCACTCCCGCGCCCCAGCCCCCAGCCCTGATCCCCCTCCTGCCCTTTGAACCCCTCAGTCCGAGCCAGAGCCCTCACCCCCTTCCACAGGCCAAACCTCGGAGCCAGTCAAGTGAAAATGAGCAAGTTAGTGAGAGTGGAGAGCGGGAACAACAGTGGGAGGGGGGATGGAGTGAGTTGTGGTGGGGCCTCAGAGAAGTGGCAGGTCAGGGGCAAGGCCTCAGAGGAGAGGCAGGACTGGGGGCCGGGCAAGGGTGTTCAGTTTTGTGCAGGTAGAAAGTTGGCAACTCTACAATGGGGAGCCAATAAGTAGATTACTAGATATAACATTTGTGATAATTTTCATGACACTATCTTCAAAAGTATTTATGGGCTATAGTATAGTCATGCCCTCCCCACCCCTCAGCCTCTGCTGCCCCTAGTGCCCATTATACAGTGTAGCCGCTGCTTCTTCACCTGCACCCTCTGCTGTCCCTAGTGCCCATTATACAGTATAGCTGCTCTTTTCTCCTTCTGTGAAGGCCATTGGTCTGACCCACTATGTACTCACCCTATGCTGCCTTCTATACCCTATAGCTGCCTCTTTCCTATTTCTGCTGCCTCCTTTTGCCCATTATACAACACAGCTGTCCTTTTCTCATTCCTTTCTGTTTAATCTAATCACTGTCAAAACAGAACCTTAAAAAACAGGGAAATTCACTCCTGGGATGTATATACAGATGTGGAAAGTGAAATTCAAATGCATTTTGCTTACGGCATTTGTACAGAAAGTTGTTGGTTCTCCTCCACATCCAGTGGCAGAAACAGATCACAGTTTTCCATAACAATTTACATGCGCTCGATACAATTCCTATTGGGCAAGAAAAATCAGGCTAAATATCAGAGCAGAAAATAAGTAAAAAAAAATAACTAAAGGAAATATGGAGACACGTTCTTCCTTTTTCTCTCTCGGTTGCTAGTAGGTGTGAGTGGGGGCGGAGATGGGTGTTTGCTGATCAAAAGAAACTCAGCATAGTGCCACTTGTAGAGTAATTGCAATAAACACAGAGGTGATTTTTCCTCTGGGGCTGCTGGACTCAGAAGAACAGGGCGTGCTTTTCTGGTTTTCTAGCTCCCACACCGACAGCCTGTGCTGCCAGAACATCAGGATGCAGGGACTCCTACGTGCTGGGTCATTAGGAGTGGGTGCAATACCCACTGACAATGGGTGTTGCTATGCATTTACACAGGCATAACTCAGGAGTAGCTCTGGGATGGGGATGGGGTTTGGGGAGAGAGTGCACCATCGACAGAAAGAAGGTAGCGAGGACATGAAAAACCACAATAATTACTGCAGTGGCTGTAAGTCAACCTAACCTAGACAGGGCGACCAGTGGAGTGAAGGGTTAGGGTGGGAGGTTTATATAGCTGTCGGAGAAAAACACAGTTCTCACTCTCTTTTTGGGTGCAGCAAAGCTCTGCTTCCACATAGCGAATCCCCCCAGAACTTGAAATTGAAGCAGACATTGCGGAGAATGCACTGCTCTTTGACATACCGACAATGTTGTGCTCATTGGAGGAACTTAAGATGTAGCTTCTCAGTGTAAGAGAGGGAGATGTTTGGAAAGATTCAACAAATCTATTTTTTGGTTTTTGTTTTTGTTTAGGCCAGAAAGGATCATGTCTAATCTGATTTACTACATAACACAGGGCAGTGAATTTCACACAGTAACTCCTGAATCAGTCCCATAACATCTTTACAAAAGTGACTTCTAATCTATATTTAAAAACTCTAGCTGATGGAGAATCCACCACATGGATAGATACATTTTCTAGTCGTGAATTTCCCCTCTGTTAAAATTTCACACCATACCTCTAGCCTTCAGCTGCCAGCCAATGAAGCTGGATCTGCTGCTATCTGCTAGAGCAAAGAGCCATCTGCACTAAGAAATCTCCTCTCCAGGTGTTTATGGACTGTGATCAAGTCACTTCTTCTTTTCTCTTTGTTACGCTAAATAGACTGAACTTCCTTAGGCTATGTCTACACTACAGTTTATGCTGGCATAATTTATGTCGCTCAGAAGTGTGAATAAATCACCCGCCTGAGCAAGATAAGTTACACCAACATAAGTGCTCGTGCACACCGCGCTATGTCAGTGGGAGAGCTTCTCCCACCAACATAACTTCAGCCATTCGCGGAGGTGGTTTTATTATGCCTATGGGAGAGTTCCGTCAGCATGGAGCATCTTCACCAGGTGCACTGCAGCAGTGCAGCTCCTTTGGTACAGCTGCCCCACTGCAGTGCTGTACATGTAGACATGGCCTTAGTCTCTCCTTAAGAGGCTGATTTTTTTTCAGGCCTCAGGTAATTCTCGTAGCTCTTTTCTGACCCCTTTTGAATTTGTCAGCGCCCTTTAGGAAGGTCTCTCCGGTTTTGCACCCAACTGTGCCCATAGCAAGACTATCGTTGGACCTTCTGCAAAGCTCATTATTGCAGAGCTGTTAGCGGTGGAGTTCTGTATGAGTCACTATATGTTGTTTTATATTTGGAATGATTGTCAAGGGTGCCCAGACCCCATTTTGTTCTTACAGAAACCAAAATAAATCAATGACAAATATATTTTTTAAACTTACTCAGAGAAGATGCCAAATTATTTACTTGCTTGACATTCCTCTTGAGCATAAACTGGCACTATATTCGAACACAGCTATTATATCATAAGAGCTATCAGAACTCTCTGGTTTTTCCCCTTTAAGTGAGGGGGAAATAGAAGAAGATAGAACTGAAACACTTGAAATGGTGAATTATGCAGGAAAATGGTTAAATGATGAATTTTCTTCCTTTTAGGACACATCTGGTTCTTTGCTACCACCTCTGGAGCAAAGACATTTGGAAAGTCAAGGTGTTGGCTGCCTTTGAAAAGCCCCATCTAAGTGACAAAAGGTTTCTATATGACTTGCCTCCAAGTTCCATTTCAAAAATCCTGACAAGTTTAGTGCACTCTGTCATTCTTTCTTCCCAGGTCATCGAACCCCAGGTTTCATGCACTTCACAGCACTTCTTGTAGGAATTCTTACTCTTCTCACCTGCTTAAAATAGTGGGTAAATGAGGTGAGCTTTGGGACAAGCTATTAGATATGTTCAGGGGCACAGGGATGTTCAAAGGGGGACTAAGGCAGTTTCGGTGCCCAGCTCCGATTGAAAGGCAACAGGATTTGGGGTCCTAATTGCCTCAGGCCCTTTTGAAAACCTCAGCCTGTGTGTGTCAGAACAGCCCTAGGGATTTGTGAAAATATTGGCAAATACACGGATGTTGTCATGGAAACAAGCATGCAGCGATTCATTCACATGGTAGCTGGGTTTATGTAAGGTGCTCAAGGAGTGCACTTTGGACCTCCATTTGAAAATCCCATCTTAAATTATTAGAAACAGAGACAGGTGGTAAATCTAGTCCTGCTGGTCCACTTGCCTTCCAGCACTTCCTTCAGCTGCCCAAAGACCCCCTCGCAGTCTTCCCCAGTCGTAGCATGAACGTGAAGCTCCAGGAGGTGGTGGACACCCCTACAATGTACACAAGTGCAAGCAGTACCTGGGAGGAAAGAGAACATAATGTGTCTAGCAGGCAGCTGTTTGTCCTGTGAGCCCCTGGAGAAAGAGAGGAAAGACTCATGTCCCCAGTGCCCAAAGTCTCTTGAGAGCATGGTTGTAACTACTTGACCCAGTGTAGGGTCAGACACCTGGCTGCTGAATCTGTCTGAACCTGGTGTCCTAGAATGTCAGCCCCATGTCAGTGAGAGGAGGAGTGCAGTGGTTAGAACTCACCTCCCAATGACACCTAGCTTACGGTGTGAGCTGCCTGGGGCTGACAGGGGCTGCTCAAAATATTTATTTATTTGTTTATTTATTTGTGTATTTTATAATTGGCATTTTGGTTAAAAAGTAATTGGTTCTTAGATGAAAATCTGGAAACAAAAGTTTTGGTTAAAAATATTGTCTTGATAGGTTCCCAGGCTGGAAGGGACCATTGGGGTCACTGAGTCTGCCCACTTGTGTAACCCAGCCTGTATTCAGTTTGGTTTTACATAAAATAGTTTGATTTTTTTTTAATTTTGTAAAAGGAGCAATTTTTTTCTCTCAAACATTGTACCAAAAAAGGAAACATTTTACCATATCCAGTTTTTGAAAACTGAAAAAAAAATCTGTCTTAGTTTTGATTTATTGTCTGAACGCTGCCCGCCCCAAGTAAAACACTTTTCAGTCTGCTCTAGCACTGATGTGAAATCAATCTGAGCCCTGTAGAGATAAATGCACATTCCAATTAGTGGTGCATTCCCTATGGATACCCACCTTATAGATCTCGGATCAGATTTTCAAATGAGCCTAAGGTATTCAGGCACCCACAAGTACTGGAATTTAATGGAAGTCAGGCATCTAATTCCATTAGGCTCCTTTAAACATCCCACTATTGATGCTGAAGTTATTCATCAGCACCTTGAAGGACTGGGGCTACGATTTCAAGGAAACCTCAGGGAGTTAGGTACTTGACTTCTATTGAATTTCAAATTCTTTTGAAAATCCCGTCATTAAAGAACAGCCTGCCATCTGGCATGGCAGCGCTGTGTGAGGGGCTGTAGTTAACAAAGACTGTGAATGACGACCTGTGTATCCAGGAACATAATGACCTATTTCTTCCAAGTGGAGGCATGGTCATTTCTGTCTGTCCAAAATTCAAACATTGGCAGTATTTTCCTCACCTGTCAACCTGACCCCTCTTTGGTCCCACCCTGCAGCTCCTTCTTGCATCAAACTGAAACATCCTCAGTCCCTAGCACAACTCCACCCGGCCAACTATTATCAGAGGTTTGGGGTCACAAGGGTTGACATTCCCATGTGGTGTAGGATTGCAATGGAACAAGGAGCCCATAAGAAGTGCCGCTTTCAACCACGCTGTAAAACTTACAGTCATCGGATTCTCCACAGGTACAAACAGAGAAGGATAGAGATGCTCAAATGCCAAAGGTCATTTAGGCCTCCTGGGGAAAATGCACCCACCACTACTAAGCATCATCCCGTCTGGTCCTGGACCTACAGCTCTAAAGGAAAGTTCACCTCCATCTGTCAGGCAGTTGAGGTGGAGAAGTAGTTACAACCATGCTGCCAAACCTATGGTCATTGAACTCTCCAGAGGTACAAGCAAAGTAGGGTAGGAGGAGATTCCACAAACATGCTCAAGTGTTATCTGGTGTGGGGTTTGGTGCTGAGGAGGCAATTTGTGCCTATTGGGATAAGTCCACCTACCACTGAAAGACACAGAACCTGGTGGTCCTTCTAGAGCTCCTATAAGAAGCAAACTAACATCCCATTAGTATTGTCTAATTCCTACCTCCCTCACACTCATGTCACACACTCTCCAGACTGCCAAAAATTCAGGCATCCTCACCTGTCCACCTGATTAGTTCAGCATCCATTCTAGCTCCTCCCCCTAGCTCTCCCTTGCATCAAGCTTAAATTTCTCTTCCATTAACCATTGGAAAGACTTACCAAGTATCGTGGTGGATTCTCCATCTCTGGCAATTTTTAAATCAAGATTGGATTTTTTTTTCTAAAAAGATCTACTCTAGGAATTATTTTGGGGGCAGTTCTGAGTCCTGTGTTATACAGGAGGTCAGACTAGATGGTCTTAATGGTCCCTTCTGGCCTTGGAATCTATGACTTCCTTGTGGATAGTCATTTCTGCCTTTTTTGGTTTAGTGTATATCTCACTGGAAGTGTTTGAAGCTAATGTGAGAAAGCCACACTTACACCAGAACAAGAGTGTCCAGATGAGGGTTATTCTGGTATACCTATAGCTGGGTAACTGGTAAAATTTCTCATGTAGAGATGGTAATATATGAGCTTTCAGGGTGATTTTGTTCTGGGCAAGCGTTTGTCAAACAGAGACTATGAGTGTTAACATTAATTACAAAGGGGGAACAAGACCCATGAAAATCACATGTCATTAATGAAAATGGCTTGATTCCCCTCTGGCTAGATTTATGCTTATAAGGCATACCTGTGTTGATCACGGGAGTGAAAAAAAACAGAGACATTGCTATGTCAACTCCCCTCCCCCCCCCCCCGAAAACTCAGTGTAGATGCAGTTATGAAGATGGAAGAGTGCTTTTGTCGATGTAGCTAATGTTGTTGAGGGAATTAGTGATCATATATTGGCAGAAAAACTACACGAGGGGGGCTGTAGTGTAGACATAGCCACTCACAGTGGTACTGATCAGAACTAGCTCTCTTCATGTCAGTGGAGTCATGTGAGGATAAATCCAGGGTGACTTTTAAGAAAAACAGGCCCATAGTTCCAGAAATACAATGACCCACCTGCTTCACATACTTCATTCTGCTATTCTCCTCTCAGTCTTTTGAATTTTTCCTTAATAAGGTCTCAGCAACGGAAAACAAAACACATGCATTATGAGTCATTTCTCACAGCTGAAAACACTAATCATATAATCTAGGAAATCACATTTGGGTTAAAAGATTTAAAGATGAGTCATTTTCTTTAAGTTTTGAGGTTCTCTTATTGATCCCCGATCGCTCTGCCGTCGACTCCGGAACTCCACCATGACGAGAGGCAGAAGTGGAGTCGACGGGGGAGCGGCGGCCGTCGATCCCGTGCCGCGAGGACGCAAAGTAATGATTCTAAGTCGATCTAAGATACGTCGACTTCAGCTACGCTATTCTCGTAGCTGAAGTTGCATATCTTAGATCAATTTCCCCCCCCCCCAGTGTAGACCAGGCCTAAGGGAAGACACAATTTGTCATTCTGGGGTTACACCAGTGTAAAACCAGTCTAAAACCAGAATCAAGCCTTAGATCTTATCATTATCTAGGTTTTATAATCTAGACATTACCTGATCACTATTGTTTTCAAAACACCACCACAAATCATGAGGCCAGTTCTTGAGCATTTTGTACCCTTTAAATAAATAGTAAAAAATTATCTAGTTTGGGGTTTGACACCTCCATACAATGGGTGTTACAGTGTTATCAAGTTGGGGTAATTCCACCCCTTGCTAATCGTTTGCTCCTGATTTATGCAGATGTAAATGAGGCCAGAATTTGCCCCAAAGGCTAAATCTTTTCAAAATCAGAATGAAGTTCTAAACCAGGATTTCACCTAACAGAGAGTTTCAAAGCTGCCTAAAGGAACTGAATTTCATAGTTTCATGGACTCACAGAGTTTGAGACCAGAAGGCTGTTACATTTGAGAGACTGAGGAGCACCACTGGCAGAGGTCCCGATAATGGCAGGGAATGATTAGGAGAGACATACACCCCATGCTACTGAGAAAGGTGAAAAAATTCCCAAGGTTCCTGCCAATGTGACCTAGGGGAAAGTTCCTTCCTGACCCTAAATCTGGTGATCGGGTGGACTCTGAACATGACTCACCAACCAGTCATCAAGAAAGAGGATTCTCGGTACCACCTCAGAGCATTGGCCTACCCCAGCCTGTGTCCCACCTCTAGCGGTGGCTGATTTCTCATGCTCCAGAGGAAGGTAAATAATAAGTAATATTAATAATATGATTAATTATAATTAATAAAAGAGTTTACAATTGTGTATCAAGGAATAATGTCCTTTCTAATTGCTGCCAGGCATTGGCTGAAACCCTGAAGCATGATATTAGATGATGCCCAATTCTTATTAATACCAATGGAAATTAGGATCCAAACCACCTAGTCAGCTTTGAAAATCTCAGGCTTAGATTTAATAATCTGAAAATTATCTGGAATGCTGGAGATTTTGAAAGGCAAAAATGAAAGTTGGGTGCTTGGTCTCCCTCTGGCACCCTTGAAAATCCAACCCATCCACAACTGGCAGACACCCATGGGCTACTTTAGGCTACTACTAATACAGTGAATGTTTGACACATGACAGTATCACTGTGATAAACAGTAGGGCATTGGGATCATTGCCACAGAATGGTGCGGTAGCTCCTCCATTGGGGACCTGTTCCAATTCTACTGATGACCCGACCCTACCTTTAACACACAGAAATGTCAGTACCTATTAAATATTTCTTGTTTGCAGCCATGCTTCCAAGGGCACTTCCCCATAAACCTGAAAACAAGAAGGAAAAGACCTTATTTACCATAGTCCAGCTAAGACAGCATCTAGGCCTTCCCCTTTAATACTATGTAAAGAGTCATGGTCAGGAGCCCCATTAGCAGAAAAGTCAAGGGGGCACTGGCAGGCCGGTCTCTCATGGGTTATGTGCTTTTACAGCTTGATTCACACATTGATCCATAACTGAAAAAGTTTATTGGAAGTAGAGGTGGTGAAAACATTTCAAATGTAATATTCTATACATCAGAAAATACTCTTTTGTCAAAATTTAAACTTTCTAAGGGAACTTGTTGATTTTGACAAAATTTCATTTAAAAAAAATAAATGTGAAATGGAGCAGGTTGACCTTATCAGAACAGAACGTTTCAATTTTTCATTTTGAAATTACCTTTCATTTCCAAATTGATTGGCTTTTATAATACAGCGTAAATTAAACTATAGTAGACAATGTTTAAAGAGCAGAAATAGTAAGACAATATTTTGATTTTATAGAAATGGAACATTTTGATTGACCCATAATGTAAAACATTTGGTGGGAAAGGTCGAAATTTTGTCTTTTCATCCTGATTTAGAATACAAACTAATTTCCAAATTTCCTGCAGAATGGTAATACCAAATTTTGACCAATCCTCATGAGTATTGGTATTTGCAGTATCACAGTGCCTAGATGACCCAGCCATGAACCAGGACCTCATTGTGCTAGGTGCTGGATAGACACAAGACAGAAAGACAGTCCCTGCCCAGAGCGTTTGATAACTTTTGGAACATTCCTGCCCAGTAGTGAGTTGAGAGCAAGGTGAGACAGGGCAGTCTCAGGAGGCAGTGGTGGTTTTGTCAGTGGGTGCATTAAATTTATTGGTTATGTTTACAATCCTGCTGGGCTTACAGTTATATCAGGATCTGGAAGGCACCTCATGAGGTCATCTTGTCCAGCTCCCTGTGCTGAGGCAGGACCAAGTAAATCTGGACCATCCCTTATGGATGAATGTGCAACCTCTTCGTAAAAGCCTCCAGTGAGTGGGATTCCTCAACCTCCCTTGGAAGCCTGTTCCAGAGCTTATCTACCCTGAGAGTTAGGAAGTTTGTTTGTTTTCTAAGTATAATTAATTGTTGGAGTTATCTTATATTATGAAATGCATTTTGAAGAATTATCAAAGGTACCCAGAGCCTAGGATGGACTGTATTTGATTGGTATAGTACAAATTTGTAGGAATGAATGAATGAATGAAGCTGGAATTTTCAAAGGGAATAAGGGAGTTAGACACCCAGCGTGGGATTTTCAAAAGCCCCTAAATGTCTTAGGAGCACACAGCCCCATTGACTTCTAATGATCCTAATGATCCTAAATCACTTAGGTGATTTCAGAAATCACAACCCCAAAGCCCATTGAATTTGTGTGGGAGTTGGTTGCCCAACTGTCCTTTTGTCCCTTTGAAAATCTCCCCCCCCCCACCGCACACACACACACACAATTGCCTAACCCTTCTGACCCTTTGGAAATTCTCAATCCAAATAAATAAATATAAAAGGCCAAGACATACAAACACTGGATATTAGCAAATAGGAAGATGAATGTTCCTTGCTGTGATTTTCAAACGAGACTGTGGGAGTTAGGTGCCCAAATCCCACTGGAATTCAATGCAAAATGGGCTTCCTAACTTCCCTAGGATCCTCAGAAAATCACAGCATTAGTGCCAGGGCAGTAGCTTAGACACAGGAGACCTGACTTCAATTCCTGCACCGCCCATTTCCAACCCTCAACGACTTTATACAAGCCACTTCTCTTCCTGGTGCCTCAACTTCCTTCTCTGTAAAATGGATATGTTGATACCCACTAAACTTTTGAAAAGCACACTGAGATCTGTGGATGGGATGCACTACCTCTACAAAAGTTAACCATGTTTCAGGAGGAGTGTGACGAAGTGGGACTGGTCTTAATGTTTCCTCTGAATACTGTGTGGGTGCCTCAGTTTCCCCTATGCATTTCTTAAGTCTCTAGGTGGTGGGATAAAGGCCAGTGTCTATAAATCACCTACACTCTGTATCCTGGCAACAAATGGCTGGGGCCCTTCCCCCCTGCAAGGGGATAGCTAAAGGTGAACAAAGAGATCAGGTGACCTCCTGGCCCAGGAAAGAGACAAAGGCCAGAAAGGAGGGGCTGGAGGGTGTTTCAGTTTGGGGCTGGCTGGGGACGAGGAGTGAGTGCAGATGTGGGTGTCTGGCTCGCTGGGCCCCAGAATGGACCCGGCTGAGGGGTCCCGTTCTCTGTACCTACAAGCTCTGTTTTAGACTGTGTTCCTGTCATCTAATAAACCTCTGTTTTACTGGTTGGCCAAGAGTCATGTCTGACTGCAAAGTGGGGGTGCAGGACCCTCTGGCTTCCACAGGACCCCGCCTGGGCGGACTCACTGTGGGAAGCGCACGGAGGTGCAGAGGATGCTGAATGCTCCAAGGTCAGACCCAGGAAGGTGAAGCTGTGTGAGCTTCTTGCCCTAAAGACAGTGTGCTCCAAGGGAGAGAAGGTTCCCCAAAGTCCTGACTGGCTTTGTTGGGAGCAGTTCCAAAACATTGCCTGGGGACTCTGTGACAAGGAGCTTTTAATTTTATTAAATATTCTATCTAATAGAACTGGAAGGGACTTTGAAAGGTCATTGAGTCCAGTCCCCTGCCTTCACAACAGGACCAAATACCATCCTTAACAGATTTCCCTCCCCCAATCCCTAAATGGCCCCCTCCAAGATTGAACTCATAACCCAGGGTTTAGCAGGCCAATGCTCAAACCATTGAGCTATTCCTTCCTCCTAGGGTAGCAGTTGGGTTGAAGAAAGGATGAGATGGTAGAAGAAGGTTGAGCAAAAGTACACTACATGTGAGCATATGTCATGAGTGGGGTAAAAATAAGAATTAGAATTCTAGCAAGGAGGTTCCCCCACTTGCTACTGAAATCACTGAGAACTGGATGGAACATCAAGAGACCGACTCACAGAGGTCACAGTGGGGAGTCAGGTGGCAGCAGAACATGACGGTGCAGGACCATTGGCGACAGAGCAGATGATGGCGCTGTGGAGTGAATGGTGGTACGATGAGCGACAGCAGTGGAGTGAATGATGGCACAGTGTCGCAGAGTGAACGGCAGCAACTGCGAGCCAGTTGCAGAGACAGCAGCAACTAAGACATTGCTTGACATTTCCTACCCCAACCCTCCCCAGTTGGGAGGTGAGCCCACCTGAACGCACCTCTGAACTCTGGGTCTCCACAGACTGACAGCAGCTGTGAGCAGGGCGCGGTGGAGGGAGAGGGCAGTGATATGTTAAAGGGACATTTGTCTGTTGGACTTTCACACGACAAGGTAAGAAACACAGTTTTCTCTGCTATACACAAGCTCGGTGCCTGCGGGAGGGGAAGTTTTGCCTCTTAGGTGCACCCAGGGGTTGTGTGTAATTTTCCCAGTCTACTAGGTGGGGGCTGTCAAGGCTGCTTCCCCACTTTGAACTTTAGGGTACAAATGTGGCGGCCTGCATGAAAACTTCTAAGCTTAACTACCAGCTTAGATCTGGTCCGCTACCACCACTCCCAAATGTGCTAATTCCCTTCCCTGGGTAGCCTTGAGAGACTCTTCACCAATTCCCTGGTGAATACAGATCCAAACCCCTTGGATCTTAAAACAAGGAGAAATTAACCATCCCCCCTCCTACCTACCACCAATTACTGGTGGATCAAGATCCAACCCCCTTGGATCTAAAAACAAGGAAAATTCAATCAGGTTCTTAAAAAGAAGGCTTTTAATTAAAGAAAAAGGTAAAAATAATTTCTGTAAAATCAGGATGGAAACTAACTTTACAGGGTAATCAAACTTAAAGAGCCCAGAGAATCCCCTCTAGCCTTAGGTTCAAAGTTACAGCAAACAGAGATAAACACTCTAGAAAAAAGGTACATTTACAAGTTGAGAAAACAAAGATAAAAACTAACACGCCTTGTCTGGCTGTCTACTTACAAGTTGGAAATATGAGAGACTTGTTCAGAAAGAATTGGAGAGCCTGGATTCATGTCTGGTCCCTCTCAGTCCCAAGAGTGAACCACCCCCAAAACAAAGAGCACAAACAAAAGCCTTCCCCCCACCAAGATTTGAAAGTATCTTGTCCCCTTATTGGTCCTTTGGGTCAGATGTCAGCCAGGTTACCTGAGCTTCTTAACCCTTTACAGGTAAAAGGATTTTGGAGTCTCTGGCCAGGAAGGATTTTATAGTACTGTACACAGGAGGGCTGTTACCCTTCCCTTTATAGTTATGACAGGGGCTTTAGCTGGTTTCTGTGTTATATTGTTAAGAGGGACCCCTGGATATTGAACTCAGTCCTTGCTGCTGCCCACTCCACCTGGAAGAAGAGTTACATATCTATCTATCAGCTAAGAATAAGGGGCTTCAATGCTTACCTTGCAGGTAGCAGATACTTTTCTCTTCCCTCTTTTCATTCAGATTCCCATCCTTGAATTTGCTTCCCAAGTCTTTGGTACACACAAATGCCCCCAGGCTGGGAAAGCCAGATTCGTGGGGGTGAATTCAAACCAGGTCCCTGTGAAATATAGATAGGGTTTGTAAAAAGGAGCCTTTCAAGTACCCGTTTCTGGATGTCCCCTTCTTGGCTAATGGCAATAATTTCTCAATACCACCCTTCCTCCCACAATCTGTTTGCTCCACCTATGAAACCTACCTCATTTTTCAGTCTGTTCCTTCATCTATGGTCATTTTCATGCCATATTCTATGGTGACCTCCTCCATCTGGTGTTCCCTCCTAAGTCAGCATGTGTTATCCCAGAATTCCTCTTGTGGCCACTACAGCCCCTCTCCACCCACCCTCCAACCACCGATCCCTAACTCGGACCCAAAGGTATAAAGGAAAAATGACTCATAACAAGTCAAATCTAAAAGTGATAATTTTAACTCTAGAGCTAATCAAAAAGGCAAACAACAATTTCACATTTTCTATAGTTTTCCAAGTTCTTTTCATTTTCAGAACTGATCCTTTTTAAAGTTCATTGAGCAATTTATCACAAACTTATTTGATAGACATTTGTATTTAAAATGTTTTCAAAGTTGCTATTGAAACAATTGTGGCAATTTTTCATTTACTGTCAAACCTGTTCTTTTGGAAAATGAAGAACATCAATAACCCTTTTGGTAAAGACCTTGATAAAATATTTGATTGAAAATTATTATATATATGTACTGTATATATATATATGGAGAGAGACAGAGAGAGAGAAAGGTTTATGCAAAAAAAAAAAAACCTCTTTTTTTTTAACCTGTGCTATTGTCACCTTCGCCCAATTTGTTCGCTTCTATTGCAGCATAGATGGGGTAAGGATTTGTCCCACTTGTGGAGGTGTCCTCATGTTCAGATAACTTGGTCTCATCATACTGGAAAGGTAAGAATTGATTAGCACAGAAAGAGACAATTTTTGGTGATGTTCCCAGCAATTCTGTTTCTGAATAATTAGTTCAGGCTAGGAATTAGAAAGACCCTTTTAAGTGACAGTATCTTTTTTTTGTCATTGTTGCCTCATTCTAGTGTGCACTGCATGGGCAAACATATTTACAGTTCATGGTGGAGACTTTCAAATGGGCCTAAGGGAATTAGGTGCGGATTTTCAAAAATTTTTAGGCACCTAAAGATGAAGATTGGCATGTAATGGGCTTTTCAATAGCACCTAAGCAAGATCAGTACCTTAGAATACATCTATCCTGGGGAAGGAAGGTCTGATTACCAGCTCGAGGAGACATAGCCGCACTAGCACAGTATGAATATTGGTGTAGCTGCAGTGGCAGGAGCAGAGGGAGTGGCTAACCCTTCTGGGTTCATACCTATGGTCTCCATCAGAACTCACATGGGTGTGTCTCCTCCAACTGGGAATTACACTTCCAGCTCCAGTGGAGTCAGAGCATGAGTTCCATCAAAATTAATAGGATTTAGGGAGCTGTAAATCCAGGCAATTTTCTTTCTGTGAACAGTAAATTAAACAAAAAATTCATTTTCAGAGCATTGACATTATTTGTGAATTCAGGTCAAATGTGGTGAATTCCTTCACCTGGGAAAAAAATTGTGAAAAAGTTTAAATGCTTTGTTTTGGCCAATTTGAAATAAAACTTTTCAACTTTTTGGTTTGAAATGGTATTTTGTTTGAAAATTTAGCTATTTAAAAAAAAAGTTAAAAAAAACCCTTCCAAAAATGACCTGAAACCTACCAAAAAAACAAAACAAAAAACAGTTTTGGGTGGAATAATCTAGGAGAAAAACATTCAATGCTGATTTCAAAATTGTCAGCAATGGAGAATCTACTGCAACCCTTGGTAAGTGGTTCCAATCATGAATTACTCTCACTGCCAAAAATGTATGTCTTTTTTTCCAGTCTGAATTTTTTTAACTTCAACTTCCAGCCATTGGATCATGTTAGACCTTTTCTCTGCTAGATTGAAGAGCCCATTATTAAAAAAAATCAAGACTGGGATTGAGACTTTCATGCCTTCTATCTCTTTTTGCATCCGTTAATATTCTGGAAAGTCAAAGATTTGGGGATCAGATGCTAGGTTGAGATTTTCAAAACAACCTAAGGGATTTAGAGGCCAAATTCCCACTAGTTTTAATGGGGACTGGGTATCCAAATCCCTTATACAGCCTTGAAGTCCTCACTTTAGAAATGTTCGGATACCACAGTGATCTTTGAGAACTCATGGGAAGAGGCTGAGATTTATAAAGTTGCCTGAGGGTTTATATAGCTTTAAAATATTAGCAGGTGTTATTATCCTTACACTCTTTTGCTCCTGAATCCAAGTACTGCCGAGAGAGAGAGAGAGAGAAGAGAGAGAGAGAGAGAGAGAGAGAGAGAAACAAAGGGATATATTAAGTAAATCCAGTGACTTTTCAGTGGAACCATGCTGGATTTATACAGCAACCCACCTGCTTCAACATTTTATAGACAAAGAAAGAGGCCCAGACATCAGTCAGAGAGAAGAGTTCATCTTCAACCGCCTGTGTCGCAATAGTAAACTCTTCTTGAATATCATGTGGAAGTTTGGAAAGTGTATTGCACAGGCGTTCTTCCAAGTCCTGCACTTTCTCTGTCCAGTCCTTCTCTTGGTAGAGGGTGGACATGCACCTATTAATGAACCAGAACAGGTATGGCTGAGACTGAGGGAATAAGATGGGGAGTTCCCCCTCCCGCTTTTGATTTTCATACCTTTTATTTTTCATGCAGGGAATTATAATTGTCATCCTGGCATTATAACAAATCTGTGACTTAACAAGGACTTCATCCACGGCTGTCTGTCGCCATGGCCACTGAGAAATTCATGGCAATAACAAGGATAGAGCTAAGATCATCCGCTGAAAGCCAAGGCCGCTGCCACTCTGAGCTATGGAGAAACTCCATTATCTGCTTCTCTAGGACCTATGGAGCATGCTAAGCAATTCTGATTCTACCCAACAAAGGTGGTGAACACATTAATCAGGCCATTATGAGTGTGACCCAAAGCCCAGGGCCTTTCTTGAGCTAATGGGGAAACTACATGGCAGTATAGGAAGTACAATATGGGGAGGAGCAATAGAGATCCCACCTAGTAGAGGGCGGTAGTAACACACAGACACACACACTCTCTGCTCATTTCACTAGGCCACCGTCACTCACCTGTCTCATTTTCTGCCCCTCTCGCTCACTCTGATGGGATGACTCTGAGAACAAGGTGCTACGCAGCAGGCACAAGAGACTGATTCTGGCCCTGGTTGATCAGCTAGAAGTGTCAGAAGATTTTCCTTTCCCATCTCTTTCTCTGTGGATAACTCCACTGTTCTTCCTTCCTCCCAAGCCCCAATACTGGGGCCCCGTTTGACTCTTCCCTCTCCTTCCCTCTGTGTATTCTCCATCTCTTTATAAACCCCAATGAACCGCAAAACCTTAAGAACCCCCACACGTTGCCCTATTCTCACTGTCCCCGGTTTTGAAACCCTATCTCCTGTCACCCTGATTGCTGTAAGCATCACTTGTAGGGTAGACACACACCTAGGTGCTTTTGAAAATCTCACTCATAATGCCTTGAAAATGTACAGAGCTAATTGATAATAAGAAAGCCCCAGTGGCCACCAACTCTGTGCAGGAAAACTGGCTCATTCTCACTTCTACTGACATGCACCTACCAGGTGGAACCCGATACCCCACACAGGTACATGACAGCGTCCAACAGGCCCTGCTTCTTCAGCTCCACTAAGGTTCCCTGAAGGGCTATCATGGCCCGCAGACCTCCACCTGATCCCAGGACAGCAATATTGGGCATGTTATCCTGGAGGAGGGAAAAGAGCGAATGACAAGTGAACTAGGAATGCTGAGTGATCTCTACTTTTCAACTATTGGTACAGATCCTTTCAAGAAATTCACAGAGAAAGCCTCAAGTTCCCAGATTTGTTTGCCTGATGTTAGGAAGCATTCCTTATTGGGTGCCCAATGACCTGATCCCCATCCTGAGCCAAGAGCAAATGCATCTTATCTGCATTTTCAGCCATAATCATACAGTGGTAGCCCAGTAGCCCTTGGGGCTCTTTGAAACTCTGGGCCTTTGTGCTTAAAATCGTATGCACCAACCAACAGACCAGGACCAGAATTTTCAAAGGGATTCAGGTAAGGGCCTAGAGGGCATTTCAAAAGCACCTAAGCAAGTTAGGTGCCTAACTCACTTTGATTTCCGTTGGACTTGAAATATGGCTCAAACTTACTAGTGCTCTTTACTGTGCTCTATGTTCATGCCCTTACTCTCCACGATTCACGGGAGTGAGTTTGTTTGTTTGAACAAATGTGTGTAATGTAGAAGGACTATTCTTTGTGTCCAAAAAATAATGTATGAATGCAGCTGCTCAAGAAATGATTTTTGAGCACCACAAAACCCAGGTCACTCTCCCTACTGCTGAAGAAAGAATATTGTGAGGAGGAAGCAGTGGAAGAGTCTTAGGGTGACATTTGCAAAGCCCTCAGAGGGCACATGTTCCCAAATATGTCAGATCCACGGGAGTTTGCATCCTTCCAAGGACCATCACTTTTCAATGATGGGTAACAATCCTGGGATATTCCTCACATGACTCCACCATGCCAGTTAACAGAGTAACCACAAAGGGTGGGCAGCAGTGGTTGGCTTTTAACTTCTGTGTGGTTCAACCAGCAGATGGGGCTGTGATACATGTAGAAAGTATTACACAGTCACTATTCATTACTGATGTTAATACTAAGTCAGACAAGTATCAATAGCTCACTCAATTCTCTGTCTGTCTAAGGTATTGCTTCTCAACCCACTTACCATTGTGGGCCACATATGCAGCTCTCTATGTGTTATGTGGGTTGTGGGTTGAGAACCACTACTTTAATGCAATCTGTGCACTATGGTGATGGCTCTAATGCCCCCTTCCCCTCTGTTCTGTGCTGTAAAGGGGCTATAGTAAGCACTGACTGAATTCATGTGAGCATGGAGCCCTCTAAATATTAGCCCCAGCAAGTCACTTACTGCATTCTAAGGGTGTTGCTCCTTTAGCCGAAGGGGTAGGAGCTTGTGCTTTTAGAACTGAAGACCCCCAAGTTTGAGCCCTGCCAAAAGTCATTAGGTTTGTATGTCTGTGGCCATTGGTTCCCCCTGGTGCTTTGGGAATGTTGTATTTCAAGGGGAATATCTCCATGGGGCAGGATTTTGGAGGAGTTTCCTACCACTGTACCAGGCATCTCAGTCACCATCCACGTGGCTAACATGCTAGACTGTTCTCCTTAGCGCTATGGGCATGATGGAGCCCCTACCTCAGCACAGGCAATGTTAAGGCTCTTGAGGCACTCCAGGACTTTTGCCTTTCTGTTCCCAGTGGCTTCCTTCTCACCCTCCGAGAGCTCATGGGAAAGCCAGACACGTCCATCATCCTTCCAAAAATAAAATGCCAATAAAATGTCTCATCTCTCCAAAGGCTGCCAGGAAGTGGAGATGTGGGGTCTGGGTGTTGCCGGCCCAAAGGGCCCCGCGGGGGCAACAGGGTTCGTTGCCCGGCGTGCTTCGCACTAATGAACACACCAAGGTGGAGAAACAATCCAAGTTTATTCGAGATCTCGAAAAGGCACTCAGGAGACCAGCATGTCTCAAATCAGAAGCGCAACAAATACAAACAAGTTTCCCATTTTATACTCCAGGCTGTTTGTGTGCAAGTCTTTGTTTGATTTTACCCCTATCCCTCCCTCCCAAACAACAGTTACAATAGGCACTACATTGGTATGTGAGAAAAGCTCTTGTTCATCTGTTTATCTGTGGCCTTGTAAGCTTTGACGCGTGTGAACTTCCCCCTCCCCCTTTCCCCCGTTCTTATCACTACAGCGTTTGCTAGTGTGAGCGATACTGCAGCCGTCTGTGTTACAGGCTTTGCTTTGCTTTTTAGGCTGTCAGCATTTCAGGTTGGTTAAAGTTCACAAGATGGAGTTACTGTGGCTCACTTAGACCCAGAGCAAGAGAGCTTCATTGACACTTATGGTCTTCCACTCTCCAGAGTTACCTGGTAGCTATGTCTAGTGATGCCAACAATTCCCTCCTTTGAGAACACTCAACAAACCTTTGGCAGAGTTTTCTCATACTCTAAAGACAAAATGCAATTAAGCTCCATGCAATTAGGATAATCAATGAGAGGGTATAAGGGAACTTCTGAGGTATGGGAGGTACAAATCTTATGTATGAGCACTTTACCACAAGCGAGCAAAAGAAAAAGAACAAAACATATCACAACACCTGTGTACAAAATGCTAACAATGCCTCCCCCTAGTCTCCCTAGACTAGGTAACGAACCCTAAAGGGAATCAAGAATAGTGGGTTCTCCTTCTTGGGTCTTCCACTGGTTCAAGGCCTGTTCAGCTGACAAGATGTGCTTGTTAATATCCTGTGAAAACTCTGGGACATAGGTACAACACTCTTCTTCAATAAGGGCACAGACCCTGCCCTGTGAGGCTAACACATAATCTAGGGCCTGGCAGTTTTGCAGAGCCAGCAATCGAAGCTGGTACAGGTCGGAGCTTATGCCTTTTTCTATGGCTAGGGTATCATTGGCAAACTGGGCGAGAAATTTAGACAGTCTCCTGTAGAGTTGGGCTAGCCATTCCGCCCCATAAGTAGGGAGGAATATCATCCCAAACCTGTCTCCTTCACCGATGGGTTCAATGGTAGCTCTTAGGGACTGGTAATATCTGGGGCGACCTGAGGGAGCCTGGGTTAGAACACGGAGGGGAGGAACGAGATAGCCTTTATAACAGCTACCATGCCAACCATGAGGAAGCCATTTGTAGGCACTAGTACCACAAACCCAAAATGCTTCACCATAACTAGCCTTTCCATTGTTACCTTGTAGGTCCTATAGGGTGGCTTGTGGGGAAAGGGCAAAGAATGCAGCGCCGGTTTTCCAACCAGTGGCATTTAGTACAGGAACAGTGAGACTTATACCAGGACCAATATAATATCTACATGTACTAATGCCGGCAAACCAGGTATGATTACTTGTACTGGCTTGCTGATAACATATGAGACCAGTGGGTGGAGAGCGTAAACGAATGGGCTGGGGCTTACGAGTGCTACTATAGTGGGAATTCCAAGAGCCATTGTGTAGACCATACGGAGCTTCCGCAGTACAGTTAGATCATAAACTTAAAATGTCAGAGGTGCTGCTGCTGGTAACCATCTACCTTTGACAAAAGTCTGACCAATTTTGGGGAACTACTCTCCAGGGCAATCCAGCCGAATGGTGGGGAGTCTGGGCACATATCCAACAGCTGGAGAGATTGAACTCACGGGCAAAGGCAAGTTTTAGGGCCTCATAGGTATTGGTAGCCATGTCTGCAGGGATGGCTTCCCATCCTGCATGTGATGTGGGTGAAACAGTATGTAACAGAAAGAGTGCTTCTGTGACAAAAAGGAATGTTGTGAGAGACCCTAAACCTGAACCCATATTGTGATTACAACAACCCAAATGCCCAGAAGATAAAAATTATTGACACCAAACAAATAAAAAAATAAAAGGACCAGGACCATAGGTTAGGTCGGCCTTCTGTGAATAGACAAAACCAATGCTCCGGGTTCTCGTGGGGAGAGTGCTGTGGCTGTTTAGAGAGATCACTAGGCATTCCCAGTGACCCTTATTGTCTTTTGAATAACAGCTTAAGTCCCAAATCGTCTCTAGAAGCTTTCTCAGCAGGTTGGACAGTCCACTGTTCAGGAGTGAGTACTGCTTTCAGTCGAGAGTGATGAATCCAGTTCTTGTGTCCTTCGACCTTTGCCACTGTGTGGGTAACAAGCAGGACAGTGTGGGGTCCCTTCCACTTCTCTTGGAAAGGCTTGTCCTTTCAGGTCCACAGGAGTACAGAATCACCTGGCTGCAAGGAGTGGACCGGGGTATCCAGCAGAAGAGGCTGTGAATCTTTGGTGTATCTGTGAAGAGAAGAAAGAACAGCAGACAGAGAGCACATGTACTGAGACAAGAAACCACACCCCATTTCCCACTCCCCTGCCAGAACTGGGGTACCATTCATAGGCCATGCTCTTCTAAACATAATCTCGAAGGGAATAAGCCCTAACCTGCCCTTGGGGAGAGCACGAATGCGGAGTAACACAAGAGGCAAAGCATCAGGCCACCTAAGAGAGGCGTCCTGACAGACCATTGAGAGGTGTCGCTTGAGTGTCTGATTTGTGCGTTCCACTACTCCACTGGCTTATGGTCGCCATGGTGTGTGGAGCTTCCAGGGGATTTGCAAGGCACTTGGTATCTTTTGAACAACTTGAGATGTGAAGTGTGTTTCGTTATCAAATTCCATCCACTGGGGAAGGCCGAAGTGAGGAATGATCTCCTTGACAAACTTAAGAGCCACAGTTTTTGCAGTGTTGTTAGGACATGGGAAGGCTTCAGGCCATCCACTGAATCAATCCACTAAGACGAGGAGGTACCTGTACCCTTGGGTCCGGGGAAACTCAGTGAAGTCTATTTGCCACACCAATCCTGGGCCTGGGGTAGGTTCCAAGGTGGCTGGCAACACTGCTACTCCTGGTCGAGGGTTATTCTTTTGGCAGATTAAACATTCAGCCTGTACCTGTGATGCTAGGGGTTTAAGTCTAAGAGGTTAGAAAATATTTATTCATAAGCTGGGTAAGAGCCTCTCTGCCTGCATGGGTGGTTTGATGCAGTTTCTGCAACACTGGTCGGATTAGGCCCTTGGGCAGGAGGATTTTTCCCTCCGTGGAATAAAGCCATCCCTCCTTTTCCTGGAGACCGAGACTGTCAGCCAGGTTTCTGTCATCATGGGAGTACTGAGGGGCTGCAAGCTCACCTACTGATGGGATGAGGGCATGCATTTGGGCACTCTCCTCTGTTGGTGATTTCAGGGTAGCAGCACGCTTGTCTTCCCTGTCTGCTCTGGCATTGCCCTTGGTTACATATTAATCTTCCTTTTGATGGTCTCTGCAATGCACCACGGCTACTGCTGAGGGGAGTTGTACCACTTCTAAAAGCCAGAGAATTTGAGACCCATGCTTGACTGGGGAGCCTTGGGCTGTTAGCATCCCCCTTTGCTTCCACAGACCAGCGTGAGCATGCAATATCCCAAAAGCATACTTTGAGTCAGTAAAGATATTGACCCGTTTGTCTTTTGCCAGTTTGAGTGCATGAGTTAGGGCCACTAGTTCAGCAAGCTGGGCAGATGTCCCAGCAGGTAAACTCTTAGCTTCCATGGTATCTTGGAGAGACACAACAGCATAACCAGCCCTCCTTTGCCCATCTATAACAGCACTACTGCCATCGGTATACCATTCCAAGTCAGCATTTGGGAGTGGTTGATCTTCTAAATCTGGGCGGCTGGAATATTGGACATCTATGATTTCCAGACAGTCATGTTCCTGCTTTTCTGTTTCTGGTAGCAGGGTAGCTGGATTAAGGGAGGGACAGGTTTGCAGGGTAACTTCAGGATTCTCTAACAGTTTCGCCTGGTACCGAGCAACCTGAGCCTGTGTGAGCCAGAGACCACCCTTAGTATCCAACAGGGTTTGGACCATATGGGGAATATACACTTGCACAGTTCCTCCCAGTGTCAGTTTTTCAGCTTCCCCAAGCGACTGCTCGCAAGCATGATGGCCACCCCTTTGAAACTCAATCCAGTTGTTTAGAAAAGTAGGCTACGGGACGTTTCCAGGCACCTAATAGCTGAGTAAGCACTCCCAGAGCTACCCCTCTCCTTTCATGCACAGACAGTTGGAACGGCTTAGAGAGATCCGGCAGATCTAGGATTGGGGCTTCCATCAATTTCCTTTTCAAGATTTTAAATGCTCTGTCCGCTTCTGGGGACCAGTGAAAGGGGTCATGATCCGCTCCCTTAACACATTCATACAGAGGTTTAGCCCACAGTCCAAATTCTGGGATCCATATTCTGCAAAAGCCTGCCATGCCCAGAAATGCTCTGAGCCGTTTATGGTTGCTAGGGATAGGAAATTGGCAGATAGCCTCCTTTCTTTCATTTGAGAGCTGTCTCTCTCCCTGCCTTATGTGAAATCCCAGATACTGTACTTCTGAAAGAGCAATTTGAGTCTTGCTTCGAGCTACCCTGTGTCCTCGGAGTCCAATAAAGTTCAGGAGACTCACAGTGGTATTGAGACAAGGGATCAGACCCACAGCAGCAATTAGTAAATCATCTACATATTGCAGGAGTAGGACTCTGTCTGAATTATTCCACTCCTCCAAGTCTCCAGCCAGAGCCTGACCGAACAGAGTGGGGGAATTTTTAAATCCCTGGGCCAATACTGTTCAGCAAAGCTGCTTCTTAACCCTTCGTTTGTCCTCCCACTCAAAGGAGAATATCTCTTGAGATTGGGTGTCGACTGGAATCGTGAAAAAAGCATCTTTTAAATCTAGGACCGAGAAATGGGTATACTGCCCCCCTATAGAGGCCAACAGTGTATATGAATTTGGAACAAGGGGGTGCAGAGTCTTAACCCACTCATTAACTGCCCTAAGGTCCTGTACCAGCCGATACATGCTATTGGGCTTTTGTACGGGCAGAATGGGGGTGTTCCACGCTGACTGGCATTCTCATAGTACACTGTACTCTAGGAACCAATCTATAGTCTCTTGCAGTCCCTCTCTGGCTTTCCTCTTAATCGGATACTGTTTGATTCGCACTGGGCTTTTACCTGGGAGGAGCTGAATATGAATAGGGATTTGATGGGTTGCTTTCCCTGGGACCCCTCATGCCCAGACAAGGAGATACACTTGGTCCTCCCACTGACTCCACTCTGGGGCTTGCATAGCTCCCACAACTGCAAGGGTCATTATCCAGGCATTCTCAGGGGGTAAGGTGAGAGTTATATCATCTTGGGTGAAATGCAGGGTGGCACCTAAACGACAAAGCAGGTCCCGTCCTAGTAGTGGTGTTGGACAATCAGGGAGGTAAACCAGCTTGTGTGATACAGTTCTGTTTCCCAAGGCACATTCCGCTGGGGCATACACTGGGCACGTAGTTCCTTTCCCTGTGGCACCCACCACTGTGAGGGAGTCTGCCACTGGCAGCTGAAGGGGTTGATTTACAGCTGTCCGTGCTGCTCCAGAATCTACTAAAAAGTCTATTTCTGAATTTCCCACCCTCATTTTTACTCGGGGTTCCGGGGGCAGGATGGTCCGTCTCCCCTGACACCCCTAGTCTTGATCCTCTGCTGCCATCATAGGGGTACCTTCCCTTTCAGGGCACTCATTTTTCCAATGTCCCTCCTTCCGGCATATGGCACACTGGTTGCGACCCAGACGCCTTTCCTGGGGACCAGGGCGCCCACATCCATGACCTCTCATTCCCTGGCCCCTTCCGCCTTTCTGTGACCTTCCTCTGCCACCGGCCTGCACCGCTGCTACCATCATTTTCACTTGCCTTTTTTCCTTCTCTCCCTCTCTAAGGGTATAAGCCCTATTTGCAGTCTCCAAAATCTGAGCCATAGACTTTCCCATTAAATCCTCCTTTTTCTGCAATTTCCTTTTAATATCAGGGGCCGCACGGCTGGTAAAGATACCCTTTATAATTGCCTCAGTTGCCTGATCATCTGGGTCTGCACTGGTAGTTTGCCTGATGGTATCCCGAATACGCTGCAGAAAAGCCACTGGACTTTCATTTGCTTCCTGGATTAGCTCATAAGGCTTTGCCCAATTGTTATGTCGGACAGCTGAGTGCTGGAGGCCATGCATAAGCAGTTCCTTATAGGAGTTAAGCAGCTTCCAACCCTCCTTCTCATTCGGATTCCATTGGGGGTCCACTAGGGGAACAGCGACCTGAGGCAAGGGCTTGCCTTCTCTATCCTCATTATGCCTTCTCTGT